TTTCCCCCCAGTTTAGTGTCATCTGCAAACTTGCTGAGGGTGCAATCCATCCCATCATCCAAATCATTAATAAAAATATTCAAGAAAACCACCACTTTCCCCATATTCACAGAGGCAGTTATCTCATCATATGTTATGCTTATCAGAATGCTATGCTCACCGAAAATGTGGGGCTTTTCTCTCCCTGGATTTCCTTTCATTGCATTCTTGAAGCATTTTTTTTGTTTCCATGAAACTTGCTGGCCTGTGAAAGTTTCTTCCTGCCCATTCTTGTTGAGTGGAGCTGCAGAGTTTTCACTGGGTGCTCTTTTCAACTGTAAAGTATTTTGGGGGCAAGGATCCTTTTATGTTTTTGGTGATATATACATTTTTAGTTAAGTGTTGAGATTATCAAAAACAATTGAAAAAGAAAATATCTAGGTGGGTGTGGAAAATTGGGATTTCCCTATGAAAACTTTCCTTTGGACTACATGTAAAGGAAAAGAGAGGTTGTGCCTTTTCTCTAGGGTGACCATATTTCCCAAAGAGAAAATGGGACACCCCCAGCTGCTCGTCCGAGGCCCCCCTGTCAATGCTGTTGCCGGTGGCTGGAACCCTGCTTGCTGGAACCCTATGACCCCCACCCTGTGAGGCTGTTTCCTGGTCCTTGGAACCCTGCTGGCCCCCGCAGGAGGCTGTTGTGATATCAGTCAGTTCTGTCTTTTGGGGGAACCAGGGCGTAGTATCTAGCCTGTCTGACTCTTGAAAGACACCCCACCACCACCAGTCTCTGCTTGAACAAAAACTGATCAGAAAAAAGGCTGGCAGAGAGCAGTGAAGGGCGTTGGGAGACACACCTGACCCCTCCTGACAAGAATGACAAAAGTAAGACATCTCCATTAGCATACAGAATGAAGAACAGAGACAACTCCCCTAGCCTCATCTGCATGAAAGATGGGACAGGGATTAGCATAAAGAATGAAGAACAGAGAACTGCACTGAACTCTGGGACCAGAAAAGCAGGGACGCACTGCATCATGGGAATCTCTGCTCCAGATGTTAATGAACCTACGCCTGCACACACCCAGCTCAGCAATTATCAGACCAATTCTAGTAATTAATCCTTGATTGATATCCAAAATACTGAAGCAGCCTATTTGCATTGTGAGCTCCCTGGAAGAAAACACCATCCATAGCCAAGAGTGATCAGCTCCTATTGTCTAGCCTAAAGAAAACCCTTGAGTCATCAGTTTACCTATAAACAAATCTAATGTTCTCTCTTGAACCATTGTATTTTCTCTACAAAAATCCCTGCTCACCCTCCAGTCAGTGTTCTGACGCTTAGATCCAAACTATGCATCAGTTCCACCGGGACTCCATCTCCTGACTGATTGTGCTGGGGGCTCTGCCTGTCTCCAGCACTCAGGACCCTGAGCTACCACCATCATCTGGGAACCCCGACCAGTTCAAGCCTCCTGGAGTGGGTGAGATCCCCCTCTTTCTCTCTCTCTTTATTTTCCTTTCTACCTTAGGTATTAACCTTTAATAATGTATGTTTTGTTGATTTAACCCTCCTTGTGTAGTTATCACTATTATTCAATAAATAACTTTTATGGTTAAGCTGGTTGCTTCTCTCTCTCTCTCTCTGCACTTTACTCTTTTGGGTTTTAGCTTCCCCCATTTACTCTGCAGCAGCGCTTCTTTTACCTAAGCTAAAGATCCCTGTAGCGCCCAAAATACTGTGCGGTTTGCTCATCCAGTGGGTTACTACTGGTACAATTGTGACAAGAAGGTGGGGATAGGGACATGTTAAACCTGTGGCACATAAGGGGGGCAGAGGGCAACTGAAAGTGCTGCTCATCCCAGCCTATTGAGACCAGGGGCACACGAGGGTGACAGCTTGAGGATGCTGCTTAACCCAGCCCATTGAGTACAGGGACATATAAGGGGATCAGCTTGAGAGCACTGATTGACCCGGTCTGCTCAGACTTGCTCTGTTAGTATATTTGTGTGTGTTTGTGTGTGTGTTTTCATCTAGTTCTAGGGCTGGAGGAACCCAGTCCTGGGGAACCTAGGTCCTGCAGGATAGCGCCACTGGGAGGGGACTTGCAGAAGGAAGGAGTAGAGCTCTATATGAACACACAAGTGACATAAGCAGTGCATTAATAGAATTACAGAACCCTCCACCCCACCAAAGAGGAACCCTAATAAATGAGCATACCCCAAAGTAACGGGCATATCTGGTAACAGTTGCCTGGCCACTGGAACCCTGCTGGCCCCTGCATGCTGGAACGCTGCTTCCCCCCCAACCCTGCCTCCCCCCTCTGTGGGGCTAGTATCTCCACTTGCGCCCTCTGCACTGCACCCCACTTTATTTTCCAAAAGTGAGCATCTGTCCTGTTTGCTCTTACCAAATAATCAAGTCAGCAAGATAAAATGGCACAAATGCCTCCTTTTGGAAAAAAAAAAAGGTCAGGATGGCCAGAACAGGGCTTAAAAAAGGGCCTGTTCTGGCCAAAACTGGACATACGGTCACCCTACTTTTCTCTTTGTTTAAAGGAGACCAAAAGCTGTTTTTAAAACGAGCAGGGTTATTTTGTTTTGTTTTGTTTTGTTTTTTAATAAGAAATTCAAGTCTAGCCTATTCTATTTTTTTCTGTAAGACTTTGTATGAATTCTATTCTAGTCGTCTAGATAAATGCTCAGGTTTCACTTATTGTGTAAATTAAACACAATTTAGAACTGTTTTTTAATACTCAATTAAATCGAACACCTGACAAGAACTTTAAAAGAAAAGATCTTTGTTAAATGTAATCCACCAATGGGAATGCTAGAATAGATCTGCATAGGTTACTCAACCTGCTCTGGGAAGAATCGGAGAAGCACCCGGAAGAATAACTCATCTCGCATTATTGCAGAATCTGTTGTATCCCTGGTAAAACAGCTTTTCAGACCCTCTTTTTCATGCACTAAATTCACAATTGGAAAGAAACAAACATGGGGGTGAATACTCAGCTATTTTCTGCACTATACCCTGCTTATGTATATTAACTACAGATGAGAAACGGAGGGGTCATCAAAGGCCAGTATCCCATGAGAGGTCTTTCTGCTGCCAGTTAAGGCAGGAGTGGCCTAGTAGTGTCAAGGGGGCTGTGGTATCATCTTACTGAGATGTGCTTTCTCAGATGCCAGTTACAATCCAGGAGTGACCTGCATCGTGCTGATGAACATGGGAATGAGTAAACTGATAGAGACCAAGCCCATAATTCACCATAGCAGCAGCTGAGCCTAGAAGGCGCAGAGCCTTCAGCTCCCAGGCAGCGCTCTGCAGACTTGCTGTGTGGGGCCATGACCTGCATAGCATGCACACACTCTAGGGCAGGAGAGTGGATCCTTTCCTCTTCTCTCCTTCCCCGTCCCAGCCATCACAGACGCCCTGACCATAGGCACTTCCATCTCAGTAACTGTCATGTTTGCCAACTCCCTCCCCATCCTACCCAGAGGAGAAGAGACCTGGAAGGAAGAGAGGAAGATGGAGAAGATGGGAGAATGGGGAAAGGGATCTGGAGACCCTACAAAAGGACAGGCAGAAGAGATGCAGAGGGAGCTGGGAGACTGACAGATGATGGAGAGATGGGAGGAAGGGATGAGGGAGGAGATAATCTGCTCCATGGCAATACAAAACAATGACCTAAAGGCTGTTTTCTAAGGGTATGTCTACAAAGCAAAGAAAAACCCGCAGCTTGCCCATGCCAGCCAACTTGGACTTACAGGCTCAGGCTGTGGGGCTGTTTCATCACTGTTTAGATTTCTGGGCTCACGTTGGAGCCAGAGCTTTGGGACACTATCACCTCACAGGGTCCAGAGCCCAGGCCACAGCCAGAGCCTGGAAATCTACACAACAATGAAATAGCCTTGCAGCCCGAACCCCATGAGACCCAGTTGGTTGGCAAGGGCCAGCCATGGGTGTCTAGTTGCTGTGTAGACACACCCATAAGGACTTGTCCATGGCCACCCACACAATAAATAGCACAGCTGAGATAAAGCACTAAGGTCTCATATCTTCAAGTCCTAGGCTGTGTGCACTTGAGCAAACTAACAGGTGAGAAATATGAAATACCAGCCCAAGGAAGATGTTTCAGCTAGATTACTATATTAGACAGTTCTATTACACAAGGTAAAGTTCTTTGGGAATGTAATGTGATGCTGCATGCCATATTCTTCATAGAGATATTATTATATGATTATGACATAATCATAATGTATCTTATACAGGATGTGTCATGTGAGTTATCATGGAAAGGTTATGATTTACTGAATATGATTATCCTATTCGTATGCATGTATCATTTTTGTATCTGAAGTTAAGAATATTGTCTTTGTATATTTGTATTACAAATGTGTTTGCACCTGGGGAACGCCCACTAGGCAGCATGCACTCAGTCTAGATGGCTGGCTGGGATGAGCCCATTCAGGTTAAAGGGCCATTAGAGAAAACAATAGAACTTAGAAGAAGTTTATCTCCCACTGGGTGTAAGGGGGTGGGCTTCCTGAGGATGCTACAAACAGCCTCTGACTCGTGATTGCTATGACACTACAAGCACACATGACAAGGTCACCTGGTGCTGGTCTCCATCTTGGGATTCCAGTGTTCTTCCGTTGAGTGGCGTGGGAACCAAGCTTTGAAACAAAGTGTTCCCGCCATATGCAAAAGCTATATAAAGCAGGTGAGTGACTCCCCACCCAAAGAGACTCCTGGAAACATCTGAGAAACAAAGACTGAACTGGGGGAAGTGCTGGACGCAGGCTAAAGAGATTTTTAGCCTGTGAATGGAACACCTGGGGTTTCCAAGCTGTAAGCTAGTGCAGCTTGCCCATTAAGATCCTGCAGCCTGCTTGCATCGTCATTTAGGGTGAGAATTTGCTATTCATATCCAGTCTATGTAGTATATTAAGCTTAGTTTGCATGTTTTGTTTATTTGCTAGGTAATCTGATTTGATCTGTTTGCTATCCCTTATAGTTACTGTGACAAGCTCTGTCCTTGACTCCATGGGTTCCACGTTTCCTGGCGGCTTTCGCTAGCCTCAGAGGCTCACTGTGACCTTCCACATAACCCTTCTCTGTCTAGAGACAAGGGTCACAGTCTACTGAGCCATTTTCATCATAAGCCAGCGAGGGAGGTGAGGAGAAGTTATCCTTCCTTGCACAGTCACTGTTGTCTCCCAGTCTCAGTGATTAATCAGGGGGAAAAGGGTGGGGGGGAGCCCGGGCCCACCCTCTACTCCGAGCTCCAGCCCATAGTATCAGCTATGGTAGCTGATCTTTTAGAAACATGACATGTACAATTCCCTGGGCTACTTCCCCCACAGCAGCCCTCACTTCCTCAAACTCCACTTCACCCTTACCTCAGGGCCTCCTTCCTTGTGCCTGATATGGTGTGTACTACTCAGTCTCTCCAACAGCACAACTTCCTCCCACAACTCATGACATGCACACCCACCTGACTAACTGAGAGGCTTTTAACTAGTTTCAGCCAGCCCCTGATTGGCTTCAGGTGTCCCAATCAACCTAGCCTTCTCCCTGCCTTCTGGAAAGTTCTTAATTGGCCCCAGGTGTCTTAATTGACCTGGAGCAGCCGCCATTTCACTTATCCTGGTACCAGGGATTTGTTTAGCCTGGAGCTAATATATCTGTCTCCCACTACCTTTCTATAGCCATCTGGCCTTGCCTTGTCACATTACTTAAAATCTATCTTTTGTAGTTAATACATTTGTTTTTGCTTTGTCTAAAACCAAGGTGTGTGGAAGTAATAACTTGGGGCAAAAAGCTGTTGTATATTCCTCTCGCCATTGAGGGAGGGGGCCAATTTCATGAGCTTACAGTGTACAGTTCCGTGTGCAGCGCAAGATGGTATAATTTTGGGGTTACACTCCAGAGTGGTGTGCATGCCTTAGGAAATGGGACGTGCCCTAGCTTTGCCTTCCCATGCAGGGGCTCGTTAAAGAACCTGTGTGCATTTTAACTTGAGTTAGCTAACATGAGGTTAAAAGGCAGTGAAGACAAACAGTTTGTAGTTTCCAATGGGTTAGTAGGTCAAGTTAAAACTGTGGCATAGCCTAGGGTTTACCATGACCTGCTAATTCATGTGACAGCTACAAATTGTCTTGTCTTCACTAGGATTTTACTTCATGTTTACTAACTCGAGTTAACCCGCCTAGTGATTTGGGGTCTATCTGACCACACTATGCATAACAATGTAAATAACATTTTTTGTGTCAAATCTGGGCCTATTCACACATTATTCTCAAAGTAGGATGAGGTCCCTTTTTCCGTGTTGGTTTTATCATGCTGCTGGTTGCAGTTTTGATGTATCAAACAAAGTCAATAAAAAGGTCAGTTAGATCCCTCAATTTTAGTCAGTGGCAAAAATGAAAGTACTACACATCCAAGGGTCTTTGGAGGTCTCTTGGACCCCAAACACATACAAACATTTAAATAAATCATGACAGGCAAACCACTGTCTCTTCTTTTACGTATTCACAAACTGTGATGAGACCAACATGTTAGCACTGGTTTTGTCTGCATACCTGTTGTGGTTTTAGTGTAGTGAAAAAAGTCACTTAAATGGTATTGGGGTCAGTTGGACCCCAAATTAATTTTGCATGTATTCCAGCATCAGATTGTTTTTATTTTGAGGCAGCAGTTATGATGGGATTATATGAATCTTTCTCCATTGCTTTTATTGTAGTTTCAGTGGGTGAGAAATCACTGATGCAGAAAGAAAAGGAGTACTTGTGGCACCTTGGAGACGAACAAATTTATTTGAGCATAAGCTTTTGTGAGCTACAGCTCATTTCATTGGATGCATTCAGTGGATGCATCCGATGAAGTGAGCTGTAGCTCACAAAAGCTTATGCTCAAATAAATTTGTTCGTCTCTAAGGTGCCACAAGTACTCCTTTTCTTTTTGTGAATACAGACTAACATGGCTGCTACTCTGAAACCTGTCATGATGCAGAAAGGAACATTGCAGCCTTGCCTCAGATTCCGAGTATGCTGGGTACTTATCTAGAGCCTAAGAAATGGGGAAGATGCAACATCTGCTCCAGATAAAATAAATAAATAATAAAAATATGCAAAGTGTAAGAACTTTGTATATTCAGAACATGTTGACTATTTGCTCCATTTGTTCAAAGCAATAAGACATTTACTGCCACTTTGTTGTGTTTCTGCCTTTTATACTGTTGCTGTTCCTGTCTGTTTTCATTGTCTATACTTGGGGTCAGTTAAATCCCAACACCTGTATTTTATGTAGTTTAAAAAAAAAAAAAGAGTTTTGATCATGGGGTCAGTTAGACCCAGCACAAATACTGTGTCGTGTGCTGCTGACTCTAGAAAAGTTTTAACTTGTTCATAGTTTTATAGTTCACTGGTTACAGTAAAGTCAGTTTTAAATGCATCCATCCTCCTTCCCCACAATTTTGACAAACCAGGGGGTCTCCAAGACCCCAGTACAGAAACAGTTGGGTGATTTTTGGTTCGATACCAAGGCTAGGAACACACCTGTTTCCTAGTGAGGACACACCAGAAAGAGTTGAAGAACAGTTCTTTCTATCCTGTCCTTTTGGTGCTGTTGCATCCAGTAAAGGCTGAGAAGCATCAGCAGAGCTTTCAGATCCTAGCCCTAGAATAACAGGAGGGGAGAGATTGCAGGACTTTATGCTGTTTAAAACAAAATTTTACTGGCCATATATTATAGATAAGCCATGGAGAGGGCTCCTCAGCTCAGGTAAGGTCTTGTTTTGAAAAGTGCTTTCAGCCATGAGTGCCATGCAAATTCTACAGGAAAGGAACAAGATACTCTATTGTATGATTTTTCTCCCCAGGACTCCAGGGTTTCATCACTGAGGCTCTGCTTGTTTTTCCTGGAACTAAATACTCCTCCACTGAAACGAAGAACAGCGTGGATGGAGGGCCACATCGGGATTGCGAAATGGTATTGAGGACCGGGTAGGGAAGGCTGTGCCTCCACAAACAACCTGGCCCCCACTCCCATCTGCCCCTCCCACTTCCCGCCCCCTGACTGCCCCCCTCAGAACTCCTGACCATCCAACCCCCCTACTCCTTGTCCCCTGACCGCCCCCCTCCCGGGACCCCCAGCCCCTAACCGGCCCCCCGGGATCCCACTCCCTATCCAACCCCCACTTCTCCCTGTCCCCTGACTGCCCCACCCCCTATCCACAGCCCCACCCCCTGACAGGCCCCCTGGGACTCCGGACCCATCCAACCCCCCCCTTTGTCCCCTGACCACCCCCTCCTGGGATCCCCATCCCTAACTGCCCGCCAGAACCCCCCCCCATTCAACCCCCCCCGCTCCCTGTCCCCCCCGGGACCCCACCCCCTATCCAAGCCCCTTTGCTCCCTGTCTCCTGACCGCCCCCACCCTGAACCTCCACCCCATCCAACCGCCCCCTGTCCCCTGACTGTCCCCCAGGACCTCCTACCCCTTATCCAACCCCACCCTCCCCCCGCCCCCTTACCATGCTGCTCAGAGTGGCAGGACAGGCTTATTGGAAAGCTTGGGAGGTGGGCGGGTGCAAGCCACGCTGCCCACGCGGCGGTGTTACTGCAGGGCAGGGGGACAGCAGGGGAGGGGCTGGGGGCTAGCCTTCCCGGCCAGGAGCTCAGGGGCCAGGCAGGATGGTCCCGTGGGCTGGATGCGGCCCGCGAGCTGTAGTTTGCCCACCTCTGAGCTAGTTGGACAATTTTTGGCAATTTTTTGTTCCGTTTTCTGACAAGCTCTAATAATGAACTCTCAGATAAAGAAAGGGGGAGGAGGAGTGTATCTAATGAGATACGAAGAATGGGCAAATTCTGCTTCTCTTGAAATAAAGGCAAATGTTGCAAGTGTGTTTCTAAAAAACAAAAAGCAGCACGTGAATTTCTCAGTTGAGGTGCTTCTTATTTCAGATATAGGAAAATAGCAAGTGGAGAAACAACAAACATAAATCTCCTTGGAAGAGAGCAAACACAGTGACTGTCTTGGTGACATGCGGCATCTGAACTGAAACAGAAGAAGGCAGCTTGCCTTCCAGCTGCTCCCACAGCACACAAGATGGCTCTTCAACAGCGAAAGGTGCAGACCACAGACAACATGATGACAGCTTCTCCCTTCAGTTACATAGCTTTGACTCCTCCCCTGCAATTCATTAACTTATACATGTTTAGTCTTCTGGGAGGTTTGCATTTACATTATGTCTAAAGGTATCAGTCATGAAGGGCGTTTGACACTTGTTCCTCATGGCCATCATTAGGTCCACCAATTAGACTAATATCTTCTTTAGGCCAATAAAAACAGACCCATTTTCAAGTCAGTAAACATATTTACATCATCTTCAATCTCCGGGCCTTTTCTGGACCTCTGCTGTAACAGCAGGACAATATGATTCATTATTATTACCTCCTTTATCCAGGAAATCCTGATCCCAGTACCTTTCTGACAACTCTATTCCCCACTGCTCCCATCATTTCAAATCAGAACCCTCCCTTCCCCTCCCACCTTGCTATCAGAAACAATTGGGACAGTACCAGGGTGTCAGCGTGTTCCTCTGAATTATTGTATCTCACATGGTACTCATGTGCAATGGAGGTTGAAGCTCATCTTTGCATCACAGCTGCTGCCTAAAGTACAATGCATGCCTTTGAGCCCCAGATTTTCTAGGGAATGGTGATAAATTCTGAATTTCTAAAACATTAATGAAATTAATTACTCCAAATTAATGCTAGTGCCTCTTCCTCTCCTTGAAATTCCTCTTTACCTTTCACAATGGTGTGTAAGTAAATGCTCTGGGTTTTTCTCTCCAATCTCTGTGGAATAACAGCTTCCATCCCTAGTAGGGAGACATTGCATACTAACAGAAAGGGACGTTTTGGAGTATCCTGGAACCATTTTTCCTTCTGCTACTTGAATAGTAATATTTTGCCTCACTTAATTTCTTAACAACCTTAACATTGGGATGATGGATTCTGATACATTTGTGAAAAACTGTCCGATAGTTACTAGTTTAATGTTGCCAAGAAAGAACTCAAGCTCTGAATCATTATGCAGTTCAGGTACATCCTGACAGGCATGCGTCATCTCTTTTTAAGGGAAAGAACCCCCTCTGCAAATATTCTATGCCCCCTAAAAGCAACCTTTTCCCCAATTTTTGTGGGGTGTGTAGGTAGGGGAAAGGCTAGCTTGGTGAAGGCTATACCACTGCAGTGTGGATTGTACCTGTTCTGGGCATGAATAGAGAACTTCACTCTTTAGGGTTTTTCAATCTAGTTTGCCAAGCTGCCTGTCAATCCTGCAGCTTTTGCTGCTGAGTGATTGGAGACACCCTGCTTTTTTTGTATGAGGAGTGGGAGAACCACCTGTACGGCCTCTAACTGCCCCAATAAAGGATCTTGGAAACATACAGATGTCTTTGCCCTTCCTCCAAATATTGCTCTGCTAGGGGAAAATTCTGAGAGTAAGGAAAATGGGCGCTGAAACATGGTGGCTGTAATAATCAGAATTCCTTTTGTCCCACCTGTGTGTCTACTGTACAGACTTTTTTAGCAAGCACCGCTTGCTGGGGCATAGTCATGGGGAAAATCATAGAGTGGAGATTGACATGAGACCAGATTGGGCTTTAGATTCTGCTTGATGCGTCTCCTCCAGTATCCCACGTGGAAGGTGGTAGCAGAATTGCCAGGCAGCTTAGATATACTCCCTGCTCCTCCCTCATGCTTGTGTGGTTCCCTTGCAGGCTCACCACCTTAGTATACAAGTCTTTCACATAAGACAAATGCTACATCTATACTGCGACCATGTTCAATCTCAAACCCTGATCTGGCTGGGAGTAAACAGAAGCCAGACGTCAATTTCCAAAATGTTGGGAACCATTTAAGCAATGTCTTGGAGGCGAGTGATCTCAGCTTTCTCCCAGGCTTCCAGTTCTGCCACTGGGATAGAACTGTCCAACCACTGCCAAATACTATCCCTATCCCCAAATGTTTAACCCTGTCACTGAGGTAAGTTACCGTCTAGTGGCTGTCCCACAGAGAATATAATTCCTACTACTACTGACAGACAATGCAGTAGAAACAGGTGGGTTTATGAACCAAAGGTCCTGGGTTTTATTCTCTATTGTTGCATATATGCGTTTGTAACTGAGGTGGTTGGGCCACGTGATGCTGTATTATCCAATAAAATGTGAAACATTGAATTTTGAGAAGTTTTATATTTTATGATGATGATGACTTCATACTCCTTTTAGGACAACCACAATAAATAGTTTTTCTATTAACTATTCTGGCCAGTAGATGTCACTGTGGAATCATAGGCATATAATAGCCATTGCCCATCCCTGGCTACAAATGGCTGTTTGTGTAGGATCAGGGATATCTCCTGTGTTAAAAGTTGATATCATTTTCCTTGTTTAAAGCTTCAGGATCATCACACAGTGATGGAGGTGGAAACCAAGAACAACCATGTCTTCTTCTACCTGGAAAAGATAAGCTTGGGGAAGAATGTCCTTTTGTTTTTTGTTATATTTGGAGCATGGACTCCCAAATAAGTGAAAAAAACCACATCATCAGCAGGTCAGCGACTAGCCTGTGTTTATTGTTTTCTACAAAGAGACTTAAAGTGTCTATTGCCATCCCCTATAATTGGTGTGGTGGGCTGTTCAGATGGCCTAGTCACACTATATAAATCCATTAAGAGTAGCAGCAATTAGTATTAAAAGAAACAAAGTCTGATGCAGTTTTCTGTCCTGTTTTCAGGCATCTCAGGAGAAAATCAGTTTCTCTTTTTCAGTTGAGCAAAACCTTCCTGGGTCTGATATGAAACCTGCTGCAGTGCACACATCTATGACTGCTACGAAACAGGTAGGTGGCCTGGCTGAGCCTGGGAAGAGACCACTGAACCAAACTACTGATTCCAGCTTTAGCAGAAGCCAAAGAGCTACATAGTGATGAAATCTGATGCATTTCCCCAGCTGGTTGGATGCAGACTTCTCTTTCCATTTCTGCATTTGCCCTATTTTTTTCCCTCACAGCAGCAGTGTGTGGAAGGTAAGTATGTAGCTCTTACTGGTTACTACACAGCTCCTCAACCAAGGAGAGACATTGGGAATTCTCTCTCCCCATTCTTGTTTAATTTGAACACAAAGACAGATGGACAGTGGCACTTCAAGAACTCTTTACCTGGTTCAATGTGCGGCATAACCATTGTACTACAGATTTAGCATGATGGCAGAAAAAAATGACCTGAGGTGAGCGGTTCTGTCTTGTCTAGTCTGGCATGTCTCACCCACCCACCATATCATCCCCATAGAACCTAACAGCTAAGTAACTATGTATCAGTCTTCATGGAGTACCAAAGGCTATAGTTACCATTACACTTAAAGTCCCAAGGTGTTTGCCCAGATCAGTAGAGATGTACAGAGGATTTGAAGGTATGTTCTGCTTCCTGTGATTGTGCATACTACCATCTGATCAACATAATGAGCATCAGAACATTGTCAGGTGGGCCCAGTGCAATACTCTGAACACTGAATACTTCTGAACATTGTCAGTGGGCCCAGTGCAATACATTGGGCACTGACTATGCATTCTAGATCAGTCATGGAAACAAGTCGCTTGACGCCTGGGGAGGCTACAACAAGATCCATTGGCTGCTGGTGTATCTGGAATGTGTGTTAACCACAGATGTGTATGCACAGGGTTGGAGCGATTTGTCGTTGGAATATGGATGTTTTCTTCCTTTTCTTTTTCAGAAGAGTATGCTCTTGCTGAATACAATACGCCCTGCAGTCAGGCTTCAAGCTGAAACCAGCCAAGAGCCCGGAAAGGGTAACTGAGAGCAACAGATATTTGATCGGTATGAATGGGGAAAGAAGAGCATAAGAGAGTTGATTGTTTGTGTAAAGGAAAAGGAAAAGTAGAGAGCTAGATGTGAGATAAATCCACACATACTGCTGTGGATCAGGAAAGCCTGCTTTCTGCCAACCCTTTCAAAAAGGTTGGGGACAACCTGGACTTTACCTACATTCCCTGAAGATCAGAGTTGCTGGTATATCATAACAAAGTTGATACTGTGCAATTAGTCCGGAGACTCCCTACCACCTAGATACCCAGGGGCACATTATATGCTGGTGTTTCTTTTAGAAGAACAGATTCTTGGAAATCACATTTTTGGCAACAAATTCCTCTCAAAACTATAATTTTTTAGGGAGAAAATTAGTTTCTGCTTGAAAAAATAATCTATAGATTTTAATCACTGTCTCTTTTTTTCTTTCCTACCAGGAGAAATGAAAGCTGTGAATGTGATTTTGATCCCTACTTTCCTCTGTGACTGAGCTTGGATAGGGCCATTTCAATAAATGTCACACTCCAAATTACAGTATGTGTGGACTGGTTAATTTTAACAGGATGAGATTGACACCCCTTCTCCAACGTTGTTGGTTCAGGTAGGAGAGGGCTGTGTTCACACATTGTCCATCCACAGTCAACAGGGCCCCTTGGCTGGCAGTTGTTTCATTAAATATGAATGGTCCAATCCCATTATATCTTCAAGGTACCTGCATTCATACATTGACAGGTTTTGTCAGTCTATTCCTACGAACCCAGACATGTCTACATGACTCACACTCAGTCAATTCATAGTTTAATTCCCCTGTCTCTGGAAAGAGATTAATCCCTCCCTTCATAGCAAGTGGATTGCAATACAAAAGTGAGGTGGGAAATCTAGGCATACACAATTTTCATAAAAAATAATAGAGATTTCCCACATTCTTCACAAGTACCATCTAAAAGATAGTCAAACAGAGGTTTCTCCAATAAAAAGATTCTGTACATCGAAATGGGGAGAGAATGAGGGAAATTGCTAAAGTGAGAGCTTGACTTAATGCTTTACATTTCAGATGCTTTAACTGTTTTTCCTTCTTGAGTTTTTAATAAAAGGTTAAAACATTTTTAATGGTGACTGTTACAATGGGACTCACCAGTGTTAACTTGACATGAATGCCCCCCCCCAACCATTTAATGGTGTTACAGTGAACAAGCGTTTTTATTTATACCTCTTTTGGCCCCAAATACTCTCGTAGCAACACAATGGTGATAACCTAGAACAGGCACATGTGCAACGGGAAGAGTTTGTGCTTGGCAACCCAGAAGGAGATTCTGTTATTAAAGCACGTTACTGCAATAGCCATTTCCAGCACACCTCCAGATAAGTCTGTCAGACAGTCTTTCACCTGTTGTCATGCAGCACTTTTAGTTTGGTGCATGTGATTATTTCTTTTAGGTGGCCAGTGATGCTCTTGACCCTTTGAAGACCTAAATGTGAAGGTATTGTCTCTGTATTGATACATCTTCATAATGCAGCATGTGTTTAAGTGCTTTGCTGGATCAGGGCAGAGTGCTTGGTCAGCACATTGCAAGATCAAATGCTATGAAAAGGATTTTCAAAGTTGTACTGCTGTAGTGCTTCAATGTAGACAGGGGTTCTCCAACTGCTATAGCTAATGCTCTCCCTGAGGCTAGGTTGATGGAAGAATTCTTCTGTTGAGAGAAGAAGAGAGACGGGTGGTGGTGGTCGGGGACTCTCTCCTCAGGGGGACTGAGTCATCTATCTGCTGCCCCAACCGGGAAAACTGAGAAGTCTGCTGCTTGCCAGGAGCTAGGATTCACGATGTGATGGAGAGACTGCTGAGACTCATCAAGCCCTCGGATCGCTACCCCTTCCTGCTTCTCCACCTGGGCACCAATGATACTGCCAAGAATGACCTTGAGTGGATCACTGCAGACTACGTGGCTCTGGGAAGAAGGATAAAGGAGTTTGAGGTGGAAGTGGTGTTCTCGTCCATCCTCCCCGTGGAAGGAAAAGACTGGGGTACAGACCGTTGAATCGTGGAAGTCAACGAATGGCTACGCAGGTGGTGTCCTTGCTGAACCTCATCAGATTTCTTTTGGCCCAATCCTCTAATTTGTCTAGGGACCTCTGTATCCTATCCCTATCCTCCAGCATATCTACCTCTCCTCCCAGTTTAGTGTCATCTGCAAACTTGCTCAGGGTGCAATCCACACCATCCTCCAGATCATTAATGAAGATATTGTACAAAACTGGCCCCAGGACCGACCCTTGGGGCACTCCACTTGATATCAGCTGCCAACTAGACATGGAGCCATTGATCACTACCCATTGAGCCTGACAATCTAGCCAACTTTCTATCCACCTTATAGTGCATTCATCCAGCCCATACTTCTTTAACATACTGGCAAGAATACTGTGGGAGACCGTGTCAAAAGCCTTGCTGAAGTCAAGGAACAACATGTCCACTGCTTTCCCCTCAGCCACAGAGCCAGTTATCTCGTCATAGAAGGCAATTAGATTAGTCAGGCATGACTTGCCCTTGGTGAATTCATGCTGACTGTTCCTGATCACTTTCCTCTCCTCTAAGTGCTTCAGAATTGATTCCTTGAGGACCTGCTCCATGATTTTTCCAGGGACTGAGGTGAGGCTGACTGACCTGTAGTTCCCAGGATCCTCTTTCTTCCCTTTTTTAAAGATGGGCACTACATTAGCCTTTTTCCAGTCATCCGGGACCTCCCCCGATCGCCATGAGTTTTCAAAGGTAATGGCCAATGGCTCTGCAATCACATCCGCCAACTCCGTTAGCACTCTCGGATGCAGTGCATCCGGCCCCATGGACTTGTGCTCGTCCAGTTTTTCTAAATAGTCCCGAACCATTAGAAAAAAATTCAGGTTAAATTACTTGGCCAGCATCACACTGGAACTGTTAACCATCTCTGAAGAGAAAACAGGCAGATGAGTTTGGCAACCTGCCTGTGGTGGGGATAACATGGTGAAGGCAGGGAACTGTGCAGCCTGGGAATACCTGGGTCGGAAGAGAGAAAGGCATCCAGAACGGCAGCAGCTGCAGAGCTGGAAACCTGAGTGTGGGCACCCTTTGCTTGACCACTGAGGGAGAATGCAAGTGCAGTTGCCCTAAACTGTGACAGTGATCATGTAATTAAAGACTGTTGCATAATATATATGCACAAGTGAGCCAAATTAAGGTTACACAGACAACCTTAATTCTGGTGTTTCCTAACTTTGGAGTGCTTGACATTGCAACTTTAACTTTCTTTTAATTTTTATGTAATTGTATCAGGTTTGTTGGCAACAAAGAGATGACTACATCAGTGACACAATAATCCAAATAAATAAGTAATTATAATAATCAGATCACTGGCAAACCTCTGATTTGTTTGAAGCCTACTACCCAGAAGGGGAACATGCAGCTAATGCCACAACATGTTATAAAATCACTTCTCATTGCAATTACAGATAATTCGCTCTTATCTTCGTCTGAAATACAAATATCACTAAGAAAATGAAAGGAGAACTGTGTGCACATAAAATGTTTGTCCTCTGTTCCAAATAATCCCAAGTTGTTTTAACAGATACAGACTTATCAGATGTAGAAATGAGGTCTCATATGTCATCAACACATATTCCTTATCTTGCAGCCTGAAACATAATCTCCCCTAAGCATCTGCTGCGGCAAAAAAGTCCATTCTTCTATGTTAAGTACATGCTGCTCTGAACTGTGCCTGAGACATGCCTCTTTTATGTAAAATTTATGTCAATCCATCAACTCTCTCTCTTGAATGAGTTGCCTCTCCCAATAACTATTCGCAAAAAGAAAAGGAGTACTTGTGGCACCTTAGAGACTAACCAATTTATTTGAGCATGAGCTTTCGTGAGCTACAGCTCACTTCATCGGATGCATACCGTGGAAACTGCAGAAGACATTATATACACACAGAGACCATGAAACAATACCTCCTCCCACCCCACTGTCCTGCTGGTAATAGCTTATCTAAAGTGATCATCAAGTTGGGCCATTTTCAGCACAAATCCAGTTTTTCTCACCCTCCGCCCCCCCCCCCCCCAAACTCACTCTCCTGCTGGTAATAGCCCATCCAAAGTGACCACTCTCTTCACAATGTGTATGATAATCAAGGTGGGCCATTTCCTGCACAAATCCAGGTTCTCTCACTCCCTCACCCCCCTCCAAAAACCGCACACACAAACTCACTCTCCTGCTGGTAATAGCGTATCCAAAGTGACCACTCTCCCTACAATGTGCATGATAATCAAGGTGGGCCATTTCCAGCACAAATCCAGGCTCTCTCACCCCCCCCCCCCCCCAGGGAAACACACACACACACACAAACTCACTCTCCTGCTGGCAATAGCTCATCCAAACTGACCACTCTCCAAGTTTAAATCCAAGTTTAACCAGAACGTCGGGGGAGGGGGGGGTAGGAAAAAACAAGGGGAAATAGGCTACCTTGCATAATGACTTAGCCACTCCCAGTCTCTATTTAAGCCTAAATTAATAGTATCCAATTTGCAAATGAATTCCAATTCAGCAGTTTCTCGCTGGAGTCTGGATTTGAAGTTTTTTTGTTGTAAGATAGCGACCTTCATGTCTGTGATTGCGTGACCAGAGAGATTGAAGTGTTTGTTCTCCTACTGGTTTATGAATGTTATAATTCTTGACATCTGATTTGTGTCCATTTATTCTTTTACGTAGAGACTGTCCAGTTTGACCAATGTAAATGGCAGAGGGGCATTGCTGGCACATGATGGCATATATCACATTGGTGGATGTGCAGGTGAACGAGCCTCTGATAGTGTGGCTGATGTTATTAGGCCCTGTGATGGTGTCCCCTGAATAGATATGTGGGCACAGTTGGCAATGGGCTTTGTTGCAAGGATAGGTTCCTGGGTTAGTGGTTCTGTTGTGTGGTATGTGGTTGTTGGTGAGTATTTGCTTCAGGTTGCGGGGCTGTCTGTAGGCAAGGACTGGCCTGTCTCCCAAGATTTGTGAGAGTGTTGGGTCATCCTTCAGGATAGGTTGTAGATCCTTAATAATGCGTTGGAGGGGTTTTAGTTGGGGGCTGAAGATGATGGCTAGTGGCGTTCTGTTATTTTCTTTGTTAGGCCTGTCCTGTAGTAGGTGACTTCTGGGAACTCTTCTGGCTCTATCAATCTGTTTCTTCACTTCCGCAGGTGGGTATTGTAGTTGTAAGAAAGCTTGACAGAGATCTTGGAGGTGTTTGTCTCTGTCGGAGGGGTTGGAGCAAATGCGGTTGTATTGCAGAGCTTGGCTGTAGACGATGGATCGTGTGGTGTGGTCAGGGTGAAAGCTGGAGGCATGTAGGTAGGAATAGCGGTCAGTAGGTTTCCAGTATAGGGTGGTGTTTATGTGACCATTGTTTATTAGCACTGTAGTGTCCAGGAAGTGGATCTCTTGTGTGGACTGGACCAGGCTGAGGTTGATGGTGGGATGGAAATTGTTGAAATCATGGTGGAATTCCTCAAGGG